GAGACGCTCGAGCCGGCCAGAGCTCCATCTCACTCGGACTTCTCGCTTTCCGGACCATCCCGGTCCAGGCGGACCGCCCGATGCTCACCTCTGACTACCAAGGTGAGGTGAACCCTTAAAAGTGCAAATATGAAGAAAATTTAAAAACTTTACTTGTCGGTGTTGTGTGTTGACATATGATTAACTTAAAAACGTGGAGAGTTGTCGTTACTGTATTTTTTTGTTTTGTTTTGCTTTTTGGAAAGGTCGACTCGACCGGACTCTGCCACAAGCTTGTTTTCCTTTATTTTCATATCTGCATCGCCCGCCTCGTTGGGGTGTTGCAACGCACGTCGCATCCCTGTCGTCGGCTTCAATGCGGTCCTGCTGCTACCCGCGCGAGCGTGCCCACACACGTCTCTCATCACACGGGCAACACTGTAGCGAAGAACAATGCCGCGAGATCGTCAGAGAGAAACAAGCTTTCCTTCTTTTTGCTCTCCGTGCGCGCACGTGCGGCTCGTTGCGCGTCTGGCCCCCGGAGCGTGCAGCACTGCACCACTGCTGGCGGCTTTAATGTGCCTGCGTTTGAGTTAAGAGCAAAGTTCGTTCCGGTTGTCTGGCAAAGTGTTCACAAAGGCGGGCGGATCTATGATGTGTGCCCATGAACAGGGTGTAGCAGCAGAAAAGACGGGCTCGCTCTAGCCATGTTGCCTGCGAGCAGGCAACATGAAGGCAAGGCTCGCCCTTAGTCTGTTACACGCGGGCATCATTTCTTTACAGTGTCGTCACACGTTCTTGGCCTGTGCCGCGCCTGAGGGCTCCGCGTAGGACGGTCAGGTGCACTAAGCCAACTCAATGCACTATTAACACCTTCTTAACAGCCGAGCGAATGTCGGCGCATTGCCTCATAAAGTAGCAAATGCTCGTGGTGCGGTTCGTCGAAGCGGTTTAGGGGGCCTGCAAGTGGGCGGTTGGAGATGTGTATAGAAGCCGAGCTAGGAATGGGGGTGGGAGGGAGGAGAGGGAGGGGAGGGGACGATGAAAGGGAGATGAGGTCCTGCGATGTAAGACGGCCACACAAACTCACCGCCTAGCCCCATATGCGGGGACTTGGACGTATCACCATACTGTGGGGCAGATTTTAATGTATACGAAAACAGTAGGACAGTAAGATTGATAGTGAGAAGAATAACAAAACAAGTGCCTCACTTTCAAAGTGCCGACTTTTGCCGACGTTAAACCCTCTTGAAAGGGATACTGCAAAATATTTTTTTTTCCAAAACCACGTAACTTTTTCTACTTTTTCGTGCTATACTTTACTTTTCAGTTTTCCATAGTTTTCTATAGTTTATACGTAGTTTGAGTAGAGTTCTTCCACTAAGTTTAAATTGGGGATCCCTTCCTTCCGGGTCTAACGAACAACGTGCGCGTTCCCCTAGAGCGCTTTTGTCAGTTCAGCGAATTATTTTGTCAATACGCTGGGCGATGTGTTGGTGGTGTCGATGGCTATTCCCTTGTCGATCTGCTGCGCCCCGGCCGTGCCCCGCAGCGTGCGGCCGCCGTCAATGTTTACCGAGCTGCCCGACTTGACGCCTCACCTCGCCGAGCCGAGCCACGCTGCAGCCCGAGGGGAACCATCTGGGACTCGGATTTATCCCCGCCTCCCCGGCGGGGCGCGAGCCCGAGCCCGTAGAGCGAGCAGAGTAGAACAGTTTTGCGCTCGGCTTGTCTTTGCAGTGGGCCGTGGGGCCGTGCAGGCCCTGCTGCCCCGGCGGTGCCTGCTGCATTAGAGGCCAAATGACCATCGGTGGGGCGGCCTACCGCGATAGCGTGCGCTGCGCGAGTGATGGTATCAGTCACGCCCGAAATGTATTATTACAATCGGAAAGAAGGAAGCGGGGGTGACCTTTCTCTGAAATGACGCGACGCAAGGGATGGCCGTATCCGATGGTTTCTTCCCTTCTACGCCCTTCCCCATTCCCATATATCAATCCCGCGAAACTCTCTCTCTCTTTCTTTGGTTGGTTGGCTGAATAGGGTATTTAGTTGAATCCTGAGACTCGAAATCAATACTGGCAAGAAGACATTAAATGAGCGTCATACCGGGATAACACGTGCCGATATCAGAAACTTTAGTGGTCGTGGCGTTTCGTTTTATGGTCAGAGACAAGTGGGAGTTGTGGTAAGCGTCGATTAGTGCTACCAAGTGCTGATTTCTCATACCTGCTTGTATGGTTCGTCACTTGAAGCTTTCCACCATTTTTGGGGGCGTACTCAGGATTCAGCGAAATGTCCCCCCCCCCAATCGGGCGTTGGTTGGCTGTGACGGAGCGTGCCAAAGTGTCGGAAACTCGTCGGCTGACGATCCCGTCCGTCGCATGATGGCAGTGCGTGCCGTAAGCTTCGTATGATTAGTACACTGCGAAGCTAACCGAAGGGGATTAAAGTGTGGCGCGGGGCGCGCGTGGCGTCCCCTATAGATTGGGGCGTCGCGCCCCATCCCCCATTATGCATCGTCTGTATTCAAATTCAAAACTGTTATAAATATGAGCGACCCCTCTCCCCCACTCCCCCACCCTTTGCTTCCTGAAGGTCACGAGGCTGGTGCTTGTTCGCTTTACGCAACATTATTGTCCTTCCCCTTTGCACCCGCTTCACCGTTCTTCTCATATATATCTCTTCTTCATATGTACTTTTCTTTTAACTGAATAGATTTCTGGACTTATAGACTAATTATTGTCTTGGCAAGATGTATTAAATTAATTTCGCCTCGAAATTTCTGGACAGATGCACATACTATTATTCCTACTAATTACACACAGCTCACAGGAGAAGCAAAACAGAATAACAAAAAACACTTTTGTAAGAACTGTTTGCGCAGAGCTTTCTTTTCACCGTGTCCCCCCATCCCTCAACGCCTCCCTGCGGGGCCCCCGCCGGGCCCCTCCCTCTCTCTCTCTAGTGCATCGCGGTGTCGTTATATGGTGTCGTGTTTTCGCCGGGAGCCAAATTTATGCGGCCCGCAAAATTTTTGCGCGCGAGCGTAGAATGGCGGCTGGCATTATGTGAGTGCGCCTCCCCCTGGGGCCGGGGGGGCTCACGTACACACTCACACACGCGCGTGCGCTCGTACACAAACACACACACACACCTGCCACTTTTTACAGTCCCTCTACTCGACCCACGAGCTCTTTTAGGCCCGTTTTGCATCTAATATGTTACCCGCCCCGCAGCCCGCGAGGCTTCGACAGTCGTTTTTCTACCCGCCGCTGACGGCAACAGAAACGACGAGCGGCGTTTCTTGCTCACATCGCATTTCCTTTACCCTCCGTGCGGCTGGAGCCGCGCTTAGTTTTCAGATCCTAGTGGTGGAGTAGGCGGGCAAAGTGTGATAAGTGATCACCACCGTGAAAAAAACAAAAACAAAAACAAAAAACATTTTCGCAATTTGAGCGGGGTGGGGAAGCTTAGCGAGAAGATCATTACTGTACTTGAAGGCAACATAAGCATACTCTTTTTAATGTATTTCGTCAAAATGTACCGTCTCCATGTTCACAAGGGGGAATGTTGTTAAGGTTCACTTCATTCGTGGCCATGGCCGTAACTGCCATACCGATAACCACCGCTGACGCCGACGCACAAATGCTTTGGACCGACTGATCTCCGCATTCGGAAAAGTGGCAAGCGTTCGTGACGCTGATAAAACCCCCACGCTCAGGAAAAGGGGAGGCAGGCGAGCAGGCGTTTGCGTTCAATGCAGCCAGAGTCAAGAAGTGGGGCGATGAAAAATTGTCAGTCGATATATTGGTTGTATAAGTAGTTACTTTGCGATACCACTTTCGGGCGGTCGGGCGCCGCTTGCTCGGACTGAATAGAATAGCCCAGTTCTATTTAGGATTGCGGCTCGCACATTTCGTATGCAGGGTCTTGGGCTGCTTTGTCCCGGCCATGAAAGGGGCTGACACTCGCAGTACTCTGACGGGCTACACTGTCGCTGGCTGTCGTACACCGGACAGCGCCGGTATCTGATGTCCGTGTCCGTCCCTGGTTTTCACTCGGAATTTTCACGTACAGTGTATTACATGTGACTTGTATTACGCAGTATTAAGCCGGTCTTATACAGGCTTCGCAACCGAAATTCTACTATTTTAGAGCATATTTTCCTACTTTTGGGTATGACACTACGCGTAATACCTAGTCCGAGGGGTGCGCAACTCTATAAAAACGTGTACACCAGATTACCAAGTTGTAAGGATTACCAATGATTACCAAAGATTACCATTAATGATTAGCTGGATTAGCCTGCATTCTAAATCTAAACCGCCATTTTTGGTTCCGAGAAAGATGCATTTTCGTGAACATCTTAAGAAGTTCCTAATTCTTTATCTTGCAAGTAACAAATATGCATTCTATGAGTGGACAAATTATATTTTTGTCCATGGAAGGGATGGAAATTCGCCATCTTAATATGCGCGTTTGCATTTAGGCGAGATGTGGACGATGCATGTCTCAATCAACAAATTTGTCCTTTGAAATGACTCTTACGTGTGTCTGGTTTAGCAGGGATTACCAGTGATTACCAAGTCTGTGTACACATGATTACCACGGTTGGGCACCCCTCGACCTAGTCTAGGTGTACAGTGTATTACGCAAGTGAAAACCCCCCGCGGTCAACCCACTGCTGCAAGGAATGCCAAACTTAACTTTTTCTTTCTCTTTTGTTGCGGGGGGGGGGGGGATACGTACATTAATTGTCCCTTGATATACGGCCCAACGGAACAGCATCGGAACATCGAACAAAATGCAATATTGATGTAAAAACATTGGCATGTACGAAACGCCACCGAAACGTACGTCCACTAACTTATTGTATTTTGTTTTTCAATAAGGGTTTTGTTTTGAAAAAAAAAAAACAACTAAAGAATTGATTTATTTATGCATTGCAGTCAATACTCCACGGACTTCGTTCGGCTGAAAAAAAAAAAAGTAGTTGCTGCGGAAAATTTTTGAGCACGTACCTCACGTTGGAGACTGATGCAGAGCTAATACGTCGTATCCTTAGTTTGGTAAATCCTACGTGGAACTTTTGCACTGGCTGGACGTTGAAATGCCTCAGGCAGCAGTTGGAGCACAGCCGCCTCTACTAACGATGTCCGTGCCTACTCTAGTTCCATGTTAATTAATCACGGAAACGATTGAAAGTTGGAGCGAAAACTTTGTGGTCTCAAAAGGAGTCAGGGGGCTTAACTGGAGCATGTGATAGTGCCACTACTTCATGATGCATGGAGTCCCATGTGAGCGTTTATTTCAGTCCCTCCCCTCCCCGGGTCACGCCACTTGAGTCTAGGCGAGCGTCGAGACGACGAGGCGTGCGCGCGCCCCCCGCACGGCTCTGCGCGGCTCTCTGCGATACGAACCCCACGCTGCTTCCAGACAGACTGAGGTGGCGTCCCAACCCGGCGCGCCCCCCATAGCCGAGCCGCGGGGGCGGACGTGCTGGGGTGGGCGGCGCGGGGGGCGGCGCGGGGGGCGGCGCGGGGGACGCGGCAGGTCCTTATTGCTACAGCCGGACTCTGCGTCGGGACCGGCAAGGATTTCGTCGAGAATTATGGCAAGGACAGCGTTACTTTTTCAAAGCCTCGCGCGGGGCGGGCACGTCCCCTCGGCGGCGTACGTAGTAGTACCACGACCCTCGTATTATTTACTCTGTAAATGCAACGCAATTGAATAAGGGTCTCGCCATTGAAGTTGAAGTTAGCAAGAGCAGAGAGACTGCCCTATTGTCACTCGCAAAGAGTAGTTCTGTTTCTAAATTACCTAAATGTAAAGGACTGCGTTCTGTACCAGCACTGAGTCTGGTTTTGCGATACTTTTAACAAACACAAAACCATGCGATAACTGGTGTTTTGCGATTCCCACGCTGAAGGGCATGATAACTCCAAAAAATGTGATAAAGTATCACATTATTGTGATACTTTTATCACAAAAATTATTCTATTACATTTTTTATGATGATTTTATCACAAAAATGTGATACTTTTATCACATTTTTTGGAGTTATCATGCCCATTAGCGTGGGAATCGCAAAACACCAGTTATCGCAAAAATTGAGTAAAAGTATCACAAAACGGATTTCAGTGAGGTGTCTGATAACCGCGCGACTGCTGTAGTTACACTGTACCGCACGCTCGTGTAGGAGATTAAAACGTTGAGTGTTAATCAACTACCTTTGGTACATTATGTCTCATGTCCCGTGAGGCACTATTGCCAGGCGCGGTATAAGCCCCCTCCTCCCCATCGCCTCTAGTGAGACGCCAATTTAATTTGTGCCTCAAAACCCCTGTAAGTAGGCAACCAACTGTGCGCCGCCCCCCTGTCAGCCGGACCTTACACCTCGCCCTGACTAGTGCTCTGCATTAGTCGATGCGAGGCACCGTGCCATGAACATCACTCGCATACTTGATTTACCAGTGAGGTCGGTGCGTCGTTGGTTGGGCTCGAGGTTCTAGCACCCTCAAGGCGCAAAGGGATCAGCGAGGAGGATCCCGACGCGGGGATGCTGCAACGCGCTGTGGATGAGACGGGGGATCGAGACGTGGCGCCGGCCGGATAAAGCAAAACGTTATGCTCCGTGTTTTTACGAGGGCCGTGACATACGTTGACGGCCAACGCGGCCTATCCTGCCCGTCTGGGGGGTCTGGAAGTAAGTGGGGCGAGTGGAGGGGAGGAGGAGTGGGAGCGGGCGGCGTAAAAGCGCGACCGCCACCCTCTCCGACGACGACACCCCCTCTGATGCGAAGGCCAATCATTCTTCATCAGAGAGAACGTAGTGTGGGGCAGAGAGAGAGAGAGAGAGAGAGAGAGAGAGAGAGAGAGAGAGAGAGGGGGGGGGGATGGAATCCTTGAGCGACAGAACGATGTTGACAGTGGGGATAAGTTCGATCGTTTCGCAGGAGGAGTCGCACCTGCCATCCGAAGCGAGGCACTTTCGTTGCCCTTAGCAAATCAAGTTATTCGTGTTCGTGTCTCTCTCCAGGGGTAATGTATGGAAGAAGGAGCGACTGATCTGAGATAAGGGGAGGGGGCGTAGAAAAAAAAAGAAAAAAAGATCGGGTCTCTTTTTTCTTTTTGCTTTTTATTTCCTTTGGGGCTTTGGGGCGTTATTGCGAGACGGCGAAGAGCGAGTAAAGCCCGATTGAAACGTTTTCTGCACTGATATCGCTGCTAGCAGGCGGTACCGTAGTACGTCATGGCCTCGCAGCTTCGCGTAGCGCAGACCACCCCTATTGATAGTAGCGATGTCGGGTGGATTTATGCCCCGGACTGTCGCCGCCAAACCCCCTTTGCTCCCCCCCCCCCCTCCTTTTCCCCCTCAACCCTGTCGCGTCACTCAGCATATCGTTCCGCTTTCCAATTGTTGGCGTTCATATTGGACGCTCGACGCTCGTACAAAACAGAGCGTTTGCCGCGTCCGGGTCAAGGCTGCCGCCGCCGACCCCTCCGCCGACCCACCACCACTCTGACGTGTCGAGGACGTACGCAATGGCAAACGTTCCCTAGACATAGGTCAATATTACCGGAGTTTCCATGCGGTCCCGACGATTGTGTTGAGTGAATGTAGACCGCGCGTGTGAACTCTGTGCATCGGTCGTTGGTTGCGCGATGTCGGAGCCTCCGATCGATGCTCGCAACGCAAACCGCAACTTGGAGCTAGAGTTGCGTTGGGTTCCCGACCTCGGATTTGGGCCGAGTGAAACTTGTTTTCAAGGTTGCCATACTATCTTGCAAACAAGTCTCGCTCGGTCCAAATCCGAGGTCGGGAACCCTACGCAACTCTAGCTCAAACCTATATCGGTTTGAAACACCACCCTACCGCACACTCGTTGACCTGCGCCGGTGACCTGCGCGAGGAAGGTGGAGGAGGTGCGAGACGTCTCCTCGGCGGCACCCGCCCGGCCCGGCCCGGCCGTCACACACGGTGGTCCATTCATTTCCATTCCGAGTCCCCGAGCCGGCTTACCCCCCATCCCCCTCCCCCGGCCGCACGGCCCGGCGCCGCCCCAGCCACCCCGGCCTCGGCGGCCTGGCGCGGGGCTGGGGGACCAGCGGGGACCAGCGGGGACCAGCGGGGACCAGCGGGGACCAGCGGGGACCAGCGGGGACCCGCCCGCCGCAGGTCATAGTGTGATAGATAGTCTGGTGCATTGCCCTCCGTGTGCCCCTGGGGGTCCTCTGTGTGCGGAGGAGGCGGGAAATATGGGCCGTAAAGCCGTGGGCGTGCCTGCCTGCGGGTCATGTCATGGGTCATAGCACGGACAAAGTAGTCATATTGTTATTATAGGTTGGCTCATGCACGATGCTCTGTAAACTTCCTTGCTACACCTTTGATATCGAGAACATAATGTTTTGCTTCTGTTGTAAAAAAAGAAATCTTATTCCTCATCCAAATACTATTGAGGGCACATCGCGTGAATGGTGTGGTGAGTGAAACCACCATACCGCCGTCCGCTTTTCTTTTCACTTTTTTTTTTAAATATGGAAGAATCGTTTACCCGGTGCATTTCTCCCCCTCGCTTTTCGCTTGCCGGTCACGTGCGATATTTCGTCCCCGACATTCGTTTCGCTTCCAGTTGCAGTGGGTAAAGGCCACCTCCAGCCCCAGTGGGTTCCGGCCGGCCTTGGAGCCGATCCATGGCCGGCCGGAACCCACTGGGGCTGGAGGTGGCCTTTACCATGGGTCGGAGAGCAGGGCTAGGGCTGGCACAATGTATGGCCCGGGGTGGGTACCGCACCCCGCCAGTCGCCTCCCACACCCGGGCCGCGAGGGCTGGCACCTCAAGGGGTGACAACCAGGGGGGGTGTCGCCTCGAGGAGGTACCGGAGCCGTGACTGGAATCGCCTGGAGTGAGCGAGCGTTTCGTTGGTTTCGTTGTTGCAAGTGAAGGCAATACTTCAATCTCACTCAACTTTTGGACGTGCTCCTCCCCCTCCCCCCCCCCCACACACACACACTGAAGCCCTGTCTGGTGGGAAAGGAGATAAGTTGTGTACGGATTGCATCATTTATTCGAGAGGTCTCCAACAAGTTTTGAGAGTATACTGTACACCTGTCGCACTAAGAACTTGGTAGACCTACGGGAAGATCGCCATATATACAAGCCACATAGGAGAACCGGGGTAAAATTCTAACCAAATTTTGAGTGTTGTCCTCGTGTAACTTTGAAATTTGATGTATCACACATCGCACGGCTGTTGGCGTGTTCGATAATATGAAACGACCCAACTTGTGATGGGGCCCCGGGCTCGGGCTGGTGCGGGCCTCGGCGGGTGGCAGATGAAATGTTCTGCTAACAACTCGATGACGCTGTGCGGCTCGCGTGTGTCGCGGGTGAAGCGTGAAGCTCGTCGGCCTAAAGGGGCTTTCCGCTGGTACCAAACTCCGCTCCGGAACATTGGTGCGGCCGCCCCCGGCCGCCCGCGCTCTGCTCGGGGGAGGGTGTGTTCTGCACGGCCGGTTCATGGCGTGGGACGGGACGACCACGGGGTAGCAGGGGGGGTTGGGGGTGGTGAAGATTAACGCAGCTTAATGTGTGTCTCCGTTTCGTGTGCACCTTGGGCCTCGCCCACTGCCGTGCTCCTTCTCGTGTCCCTTACTCCCCTCATCTCCAGCCCCTCCCCCCCCCCTCTTCCACTTTATTTTTATCCTGTTATTTTTCCCGTCCTCTAAATTTATCACCTACGTTGTCCCTCTGGGCGATCCCCAGTAGTGGCGAGATTGTAACGACTGGGAAGGCGCCTGGCCCCTCTCTCTCTCATTGATTACGTGCTGCGCTTCGGTGAGTGGGCGTGTCGTCGCGAGGGGCGGGAGGGGGTGGGGGGCATCACTTACCACCACCGGGGGACCCCCCGCTGTCTCAAGGGGACTCCGGCTTGGGTGCTGCCCCGGTCCCACCCGTGCCCCGTGCCGGCGAGGGGAGTAGGAGCAGCGGGTCGCAACTCCCCACTGCCGAGCTGACGCTACGTCCCGTCTCGCGTTCTCTGGATGTGTTGGACGCGCGCTGCACTCATGTAACTTACATGCTGCACTGATGGTCCCTTATTGCAAAGGATATTCTTCCAATTACTGCTGTCAAAATAAAGAATTCATCTCGAAATCTATTCGTAATTTACAAAGCAGCCAGAATTGTTCAGCAGGTTCTTACACTGTAAAAAAAAATGTCGTTGAATAACGACAAATCTGTCGTTAAGTTTTTTAATGGGAAAAGTCGTTACATAACGACATTGGGTTGTCATCCAACGATATTGGGTTGTAATCCAACAACAAAAGTCATTCCTTAACGGTCAAATCATCATTCCAAATATAAACAACTGAGTCGTAAATAAACAGTACTGAGTCGTTATACAACAGTACTCAGCCGTTATAAAACTGTTAAAAACCGTTC